GAAATGACGGACACACCGACCTAGGCTGGTCGAGTATGGCCACAGTCAACTCGGGACAGGAGGAAAATCTCCACTTTCTGGTTGTCTACTTCGAAATCACCCATACACTTGACGAAAAAGTTGTTTTGCCCAGTTTCAGACCAGATTCCTGCTCCGGCCGACCTGTGTGCGGAGACACCCTCGCATAAGTGCCGATACTCAACACGCATAGATGCACACAAGCGGCTAGCGATACATGCAGACACAGGTCTGAGTGAATTTTACTATTTGTAAAGTAGCTTTTCCGGTGGCAAGCCAGCAAGGAAAGGAATATTCATAGTTTGAGTTTCTTTCAAAAAAGCCACTAATGCAGGCCGTAGAAATATGCATACATGTCCAGACGTACATGCAGTTATGTGTATGTACCCCATTTTCTGCTTGCGTAAGACGCGAGGTAGCACTCCTCATCCGACCAGCCAGTTTGCAGAATTTGTTCTTTCTGCCGACAAGGTCCAAACGCAAGGCCTAGTGCAGGGCTAAGGAGAAGACCGGACATCGGCAAGTTCACTCGATTCCAGACAGGCCACAGAGACGCGACGAGAACAGTGTGGAGCCGGCTGTGAAAGAAGAAACTGGACAAAACTGACTGTAGACGGCAAGCGCAGTTCAGGTAACCCACCTGAGTCTTGTGTAACACTGATACGCAGGGGTTGAGGAGAAGAGGAGATTGAGAAGCTAAGGTCCACTTGAGCTGGTGAAGAGGTGGTAGGCATCAGTTGCGGATAATCAAGCATACGCTAGACTCACGTGTGTGTCAATGCATGCATACATTGTGTGTGTATGTGTGTGTATGTATATGTATATGTGTGTCAAAATGTGAGGCAAGGCAAAATGAAGCACTGGCTATGGGGAATAATCATAGTGGATAGAGCTAGCTTGCAGCAAGTAGAAAGTCAATCTGTATCAGGCAGCATGACTGTCGAAAGCATCGGTTTTCGTCTGGTTCTCAAAATATCTCTACACTCAGTTGCCTGTGCTTGACTTGGTCAGTCGGCCTGTCAACTGTCGGCCTACTTGACTGCTTCGCCGTTTGCCCTCCAACTGCTGATAGTAAGCCTTCATCATAACTTGATTTAAGAGTAAATTATAATATGATTTCCCTTATGCGACTGCTATATTTTTTATTGATAATTGGTCAATATTAATTATACTACTTCTAAAAGTAGCAGTAGTGGTCGTTGTTTTTTAAAGCCTTGTTGTTTTGCCAAATAATGCCATCCAAACCTGCGTTAAGTTTTACTGCCATCTTACGCTATTTTATATGTCTACCCTCTTCGGTATGGACGGTTTCCCTTGTTTTGGAGTGACGCCGATTCAGCATCTCTTTGAGATATGAAGAGAAGCTGGGTTTCAAAGAATCCCTTAATACATTGATACTGGCGTACCCTAACGTTTCGTTTGAGAAAGCGGGTCGAAGGGATTCGTAGATTGACCTCACCGGAGACCGCAGGAGGGTTGCCTTGGACTTTTCTCTGTTAAATTGTGTAAATAAGACTTTGGCTCAGCATCCTACGACCCCGATGATTCCATGCTGAGCTTTCGTCCGTTCTGTGACGCACATCGGAGGGGCTAGAAAAGATAATTCACGAAAATTCACCAAAAAACACAAAACCGTGAAAGGTGGACAGCTGAGATCCTTATTACTTCTTTTACCTAACTTTGCGATCTTAATGAGACATTCTATGATTTGGTTAGCTGACGTATGCTTCTCCTTCCACAATAATATGAGTAGAGCTGGCGTTTTAATTAAATTTCACATAGTCTTATTTTCCCAAAAGAAGTGGACTGTAGTTTCGACCTCGCCTGGGTCTTATCAACACCCCAAGCGGGAGTCGAACGATGACAGTGCAGCGTATAAGCTCGACACGTTAACCACTGCGTCACATTGCCACGGGTGCCCTTGGATCACAGGGCAGATGCGAAATTCAAGGAGTGTCTGACATTTTCCATATCAACTTTGGTGTTGGCATTGTTGATGAAGCAAACTTATATTTGCCGTAGCAATAGACGATACTACTTTTTGGTAAATGAGTAGAGTTTACAGACTACAGTAGTGGTTAACGTGTCGAGCTCACACGTTGCACTGTCATCGTTCGACTCCTGCTCGCGGTGTTGATAAGAAGTCGAAACTACAGTCCACTGGTGTTTGGATGAGAATACCTTTTGGAAAAATAAGACTATGTGAAATTGAATGAAAACGTCAGCTGTACTCACATAATTGTGGAAAAATTCTTCTACCAGTCCTTCATCACCTTAAACGAAATAGGGTGAATACAACCCATTTATCTGATTTATTGCTAGCCTCGAAAACCGATTCATTTATGAAAAATGCTAAGCTTTTGTCCGTCGTATTACGGACATCTTCAAATCAGATTCAAGAAAACTTGACTCGTTAGCTGTGAAAATGATGCCTTGCTCTGATGATGTCCGTCATACGACGGACGAAAGCTTATCATGTTTTAGCTGGAATCGAAGGCGATTACCTCGAAAACAGAGTCAAAAAGAATGTTGCAGTCAAGTTAATCGACAACTTGTCAAGAGGAACCCGACATTATTTTCTGGTGGGTTCGACCTTCGAATCTCTTCACCAAACTCTTTCACTCCAAATGAAAGTGAGTTCAAAAATTGTAAAACAAAAGATTCCTCGAAGCCCAACTTTTCATTGCACATACATATACATTTGCTTTGGACGTCTCATATTACCGATTTACTGGTAGTCACGAAAACAATACTTAATTCGGAGAATAAAGTATAGTAGTCGATTGTTATAGCAGATATACGTTTGCTTCATTGACAATTCCACCAAAAGAAGATGATATGAAAAAAGGACTGGCCTTCCTTGAAATTCACATCTACCCTGTAACCCAAGGGCATTCGTGGCACTGTGGCCGAGTGGTTAACGTGTCAAGTTCCCATTCTCCACCGACACGGTTCGACTCCCGCTGGGGGTGTTGATAAGACCGATGCGAGGTCGAATCTGCAGTCCACTCCAGCCGGAATGAGAACAACTCTTGAGAGAGCAAAGCCATTTGAAATTCAATGGAAACGTCAGCTCAACTCGTATCATTGTGAGTAAATTCTTCTTCTACCAGTCCTTCGTCACCTTAAACCAAATTGGGTGAATACATCTCATATTACTGATTTACTGGTAGTCACTAGAACAATACTTAATTCGAAAAATACAATTATCCTGTTCATTAAATTTCTTTCAGTAAGGCTAATAATGGCTTCTTGTAACTTGCGTCTTATTGTATTTCCACCATACGCAGCCAGCCTTCCTGTCGATTTCAATTCGTTTTCCTGTCCCGTACGTGCGATGAGTTCATGTTTCTGCAAATTCTTTGGTACCCATTTATCTTCCTGTTTCGCCAATATACTTCTGCTCACATTTGCCGTATTTTATGCTATAGACTCCCGAGCAATTCCATTTATCAACCTTCTCGTTTTGCGTTGACAGGCTTGTGAAGAATGTTGTCTTCTCTTTGGTTATCACCTTGTCATTCTATTGTCTTAGCGACGGTCGCAATTTCTGGCTCAGTTGAAGGGAGGGCAGGCACATCCACTTTTG